CGGAGAAGCGGTGCGTCAGTGCGTGCCCAGGATCTGAACCCAGGCCGCCAGTAGTGCAGCGCGCATACTTAACCGCTAAGCCACAGGGCCAGCCCATCTAAGAGCGTCTTGGCAACAGCTATCAAAATGTTTAAAAGTATCTACTCTTTGACCTAGCAATTCCATCTCTAGAAATTTACCCTACAGATATTCTTGCCAAATATGTAAAGATCTAGATTTTTTTTTTTTTATCTTTTTGCTGAGAAAGATTCGCCCTGAGCTAACATCTGTTACCATTCTTCCTCTTTTTGCTTGAGGAAGATTCACCCTGAGCTAATATCTGTGCCAATCTTCCTCTATTTTGTACATAGGTAACCACCAGAGCATGGCTGACAAGTAGTGGAGGTACATGTCTGGGATCTGAACTCGCAAACCCGGGCCACCAAAGTGGAGCATGCTGAACCCAACCACTAGGCCATGGGGCCGGCCCCCAAAATCTACATTTTGTGTGTGTGTGTGTGTGTGTGTGTGTGTGAGGAAGTCTATCCCTGAGCTAACATCCGTTGCCAATCCTCCTCTTTTTGCTGAGGAAGATTGGCCCTGGGCTAAGATCTGTGCCCATCTTCCTCTACTTTATATGTGGGATGCCTGCCACAGCATGGCTTGATAAGTGGTGCATAGGAGCCGAACCTGCAAAGGTTCGGCAGGAGCCGAACCTGCAAACCCCAGGCCACCGAAGCGGAGTGCACGAACTTGACCACTACGCCACTGGGCTGGCCCCTAAAATCTACATTCTTAACGTTCATTGTAGCATTGTTTGAAAATTGAAAAAGACTAAAAACAACCTAAATGTCTCTCAATAAGCAACCAGTTAAATTATGGAAAATGTATTAAACTGAATACCATGTAGCCATGGAAAAAGAGTTAGATCTATGTACACTGATTTGGAAAGAGCTTCAATACAATTAAGTGAAAAACAGCAGAGTGCAAGATGTACATAGTATGATTCCAACTGTGTAGACACACACTGCATTTGCTTATATATGTATTAAATTTTAATATATATTATACTATATATAAACAATACGTGATACTGTATATGTTCCATATATGTTGTATATTGTTTTATATATTACATATAACTATATAATTATATAATATAAATTATAGGTATTATGGAATTTATAATGTATAGTGTGTATACATTTACAGATACATATATAATGTATAGTGTGTATACATTTATAGATACATATATAATGTGTAGTGTGTATACATTTATAGATACATAAATTTATTGTAGAAACTGTTAACAGTGGTTACCCCTATTGGGAGCATGCGAATTCTACTTTAAATTTTATACCTTTCTATACTATTTTAATTTTTTAAACTATGTCCATATATTACTAATACAGATTTTAAAGTTTAATTTTTTTTAACAAATCTCAATACTTTACCATGACTTCAAGGGAAAAGTCTGGGTACTGCATTTTGTTTAAGTCACAGTTTAAGGGCCCGCCCCGTGGCTTAGCGGTTAAGTGCACGCGCTCCGCTGCTGGCGGCCCGGGTTCAGATCCCGGGCGTGCACCAACACACCGCTTCTCCGGCCGCGCTGAGGCCGCGTCCCACATACAGCAACTAGAAGGAGGTGCAGCTATGACATACAACTATCTACTGGGGCTTTGGGGGAAAAATAAATAAATAAAATTATAAAATAAAAAAAAAGTCACAGTTTAAGTACACATTAGGCACTCAAAAAATGTTTGTGGATGAATGGGGTAACTGATGGAGGAATAAACAGACATGGTCATTAACTACTGTAACAATCAGCTTTAAAAGTGTTAAGAGACTTCTGAAGTGTGTAGGAAGCTGAGGTGGGTTTCCAGCCGGTTCTAGGGGTGGCAGTATTAGCGATATAGTGAAATGCTGGTTTCTGCTCTGAGAAATCAGAGCACAGATCTGGGCACAGGGAAGTCTCCCAGCTTGGTTACAAGCCTGCTCGCAACATCTTCCTTCTTCCAATCTCAACGAGGGCCAGAATCTCTGACCCCTACTTCTCCCCTGAAAGGAACTACAGAGGGAGAAGAGGTTTGCCTTCAGCAGGAAGAAGTACAAGAAGGAAAGAGACAAGGAACAGTTCCTAGAGATTTATTATAATCTACATGCTTCTTTGCCTTTTGCTGTACGCCATACACACACGTGCTCAAACACTTAAGAGAGCCCTGCTGAGTGGCCCAAACGCAGAGATTACAGTCAAGTGGTAGGAAGTCAGAAACCCCACCAGTCTACTCCTCTCCTATCCTGCTATCTGATGCAGCGGCCATAGTCAAGTGCCTAGGAAGAAGAAATAAAGATGAAGGAGGACCCTTAATAAAGAGCTTTTAGGAAAGTTCAGAGATCACAGAAGACCCTGGTGCACAGCCAAAGAGCTGACAAAGACCCAGGCCCTAGCTTGTCAGAGTGACTGGAAGATAGTCACAGCTTCCTCCCCAGCTCTGCTGTCACAGAAAGTTAATTACTTGTTGCGTCGGCACTGTCAGAATCATCCTAGGGAAAAAAAAAGACAAAAGCACCTGTAGACTCTGCAGAGAGTGGACATTTGTGTTCACAAATGCTGCTCACACCCTCCTGCTCTCCAAGTTTTCCTTTGTGATTTTCTGAATCACATAACTGCTTGGGAGGCTAATACGAAAGGATTTAAACTTTGGAAAATAAAATAAACCACTAGTACTCAATAAACAGCACTGTGTCATAAATCATTTAGTCTCAAAATATCAATTAATGCTACTGCTCCTTATAGCTGTAAAGATGGTCAACAGGGCTGGGATGGAGAAGTAGAGGGGGAGAGGGAAGGGAGGAGGACCTTGCTGGGGTTTTCTAAAGCCTAGAGAAGAACATTCAACCTCCTGTGTCAAATTCAAATTCATCTAACATGCAGTGAGAACTGCTGTGTGCTAGAGACTAGGACAAGAGCTTTCTAGTTTCTTATAAGAGCTAAAGGAAACTGAAGGGTTGAGGGGTAGGCTTTACTTACCTCCAGGTCATCCATGGCCGGGGGAGGTCTCTTGGTGCTGACCTTCTTCAAAAGCTAGTAGGAAGAGAAAAGCAGTCACAAGAGAGAAGAGGGGTGAGGGAAGAGCAACTTGCATATTGATGGACCACAGGAGAATGGTCCCAGCCAGACCACTGCCCTATCTTCAAAGTCCCTACCACATCACTGGGATGAGCTGGAGAAAAGTAAATTGATCCCCTTTTTAAAAGGAAATTTAAACACACACAGAGTACCCACCTTACTAACCCAGGTTAGCATCTGTTAGGGTTTTGTAATTTGCATAAATAGTAGCTGAAATTCTGAAACCAAATAATATATGGCAGGGTGCAATTTATTGGGAACTATTGATTTATTTTATGATGTGAATTTTTTTTTTTTTTAAAGATTTTATTTATTTTTTTTTCCCCCCAAAGCCCCAGTAGATAGTTGTATGTCATAGCTGCACATCCTTCTAGTTGCTGTACGTGGGACTCGGCCTCACGATGGACGGAGAAGTGGTGCCTCGGTGCGCGCCCGGGATCTGAACCCGGGCCACCAGCATCAGAGCGCGCGCACTTAACCACCAAGCCACGGGGCCGGCCCTGATGTGAATTTTTATACTGCTTAGTTTGAGCTTCCCATGAAGTTGTCTGGCTCAGGAAAAACACACACACAAAGAAAAATAGGAGAAAGAACAAGAATTACAGAAAAGCAGGAAAAGGTTTCGTCAAACTTTTTCAGAACACAGGCTCTACTCTGTGATTAGTGCGTGAATCTATGCATACAATTTCACTAACAGAATATTCATTTCTCTCATCCCTACAATGTAAACATTGCACAAAATATGTAAAGAATATCAGCACCAATGAGTAGCCTGCCTGGGGAGCTCATATGTCTCTGCCTAGCCCTGATGACAATCCTCCAGAGAAATGTGTGCAGACAGACACAGAGAATGATCAAGAGGGGCAGACAATGGCATTACCTCTGCATAATGTTCCACATGAGCCAGCTCCACCTCTTCATCTCCTTCCCAGTCTCTCCAGTTATCAAAGTCCACAGACAACCACACTGGCTGCAAGAGGGAAGCATAGAGAGACATATGCTAGGAGGGCAGCAGCAGAAGTGCACAAAAGAATGTGGATGTGTGCATAGGATCATGCTTGGGGGAAAGAGGGTCAATGCGGGTATAGCCTTCCCAACAGCACCCCTTTCACTAAGCACCCTCCAGCCTGCCATATCATCATCATCATCCACAAAGATTTTCCAGAAACCTACTAAGTGTCAAGCACAATGCCAGGTATTGTAGGGGATGAAAAAGCATAGAAATCTTGCTCTCCAGGAACAGATTGACTAGGGGGAAAACACATCTGGAAAGATAAGTGTATAATAAAGCATCATAGCAGTCAACCAAGCTGCATTCCCTGGGGTCAGAGACAACCCTTTGAGGCCCATGTTCCAAGAGCCACATTTAGGGAAAGAAGTTACTCATTCATTTAACAGATATTTATGGAACACATACTTTGGGCCAGATTCTGAGCTTGGCATTAGGATTATAAAAATGTTCAATACAGTCCCAGCCATCAAGAAGAAAATGGAGAAGGGAAATGTAAATAAATCATTTTAATACAGTATGGAAAGTGTGGTGGTGGATTACGTAGAGGATATTATGGGAACCCAGACAGGAGTTATGGGAATGCAGGCTTCTTGGAGTAACAGGGCCTTGAAGGATGAGCAGGGGTTAGGTGGCGAAGGTAGTGGTGATGGAGGTTTTCCATGAAGAAGGCACAGCTTGAACAAAGGTAAAGGTGAGAAATAGCCTGGTATGTGCAAAAGAGCTGCAAGCAGTTTGCTGTGGCTAGAATGTGAAGTCTGAGGCAGAGAGTAACAGGATATAAGGCTACAGAAGGGAAGAGTAGCCAGGTCATGAACTTATATGTCATGCTATGGTGCATGGACTTCAACCCAAAGTATTGAAGTTACAAGCTCAAATGCCTGCAGGAGTCAGAGAGATAATGAAAAGGAGTAAAGTGAGGTGGAGCACATGCCCCATTTAAAGCTCCAACTCTAGGCATTTGGGAATGTAAACCAGTGCAGCCAGAGTCTCCATTTTCCAAGAGAAGCTGATAATCTGGATTTTTAGGTGAAATCTCCACATTTTTAAATTTCTGCAACTAATTAAAAATTTTAAGTGTCAGTAACCAATCAAAATAATTTTTAACACTGTGAAGACTACTAAAACAAATTCGAGAGCTAGATCTAGCCAGCAGGCAATTTTCAACCTTTAGGGGAAAAGAAGCCACTGAAGGGTCTTAAGTGGGAGAGTGACAAGGTCAAATGTGTGTTTTACTCAGACTATGCTGGGAGCAATGCAGAGGATGGATTAGAGGTGGGGCCAAAAATATGCAACAAATCTCACCCAGCGACGATGAGGCCTGAATTAGGAAGAGATGAAGTAATGGATTCAAGAATATTTAGGAGGTCAAATAGGCAGGACCTGGTGAGCCACTGAGTGTTGGTGCGAAAGGAATCAAGGGTGATTCCCAGACCTAATCTGGGTACCTGGGTACATAGAGAGCACAGGAGAAAGAGCAGACCACTCCCCACCTTGATATCCTCCTTGGTGAGCCGGGGCCAGGCCACCTTCTCCTTCCACTTCCTCACAAAGCAAGTAATGGAGCGGCCAGAGCGTTTATCCTGGGAGTCCTGCCAGGCAGAGAGCTTCATTCTTAGAGTCTGAGGTTTAGAATGAATCTCCAGTTTCCCTGGGCAGCCTTTCCATCCAGAACTTACTCTCCCACCCCACCCTTACCTTGGAGTTCACCTTGGCATAGAACTCAATCTCATTGTACAACTCCACTCCATCCGCATTCTTGCAGCTGAGGAGACAATGCAGCTGAGGAGATGTGACAGGCTGAGTGTGGGGGCATTAGGAGAAGGAAAAGGCTCCTGGGAAGCCAGGCCCTCCAGCGGGGAGAGCCATTACCTGAACACAATGCGGTGGTCTTCGATGAGCACATGGACATCGGTGCTATCCTCAACACAAAACTCCATGAACACATACTTGGGCCTATCGTACCACAGGGTCCGGGCATGCTGCCTGCAGAGGAGTTGAGGTGGGGTTTCATAGGGGTGGGAGAGGGAAGACTGAGGGCATTTGGGAAAGGTGGAAGGAGGGGAAAATATAGGGACGTTTTATGCCACAGCCCTGTCAACGTGGAGCTAAATGAGACAGAAGGGGGTGGAAGGGGAGTGACGGGAGTGGGTGTGTGCGGTGAGGGTGAACCTGGGGAGAATCCAAAGTGCTAGAGTAGAGAGGTAGGGAGTTATGGAGAACATTCAGGTCAAACTTCCCCTCACCACCTCAAAGTTACAGATATCTGGGGTCTGTGGTTACCATGGGACCTCGCAGAACCTGGAGCGCCCAGAAAATATGGGCAGGGAAAAGGACGGCCGGAAACACTCACCGTGCCATGGCGGCTCCCGCTGCCCGGTGGCGTTTGGAGTCCGAGGCAGGGGCCGCTATCTTTAGATCCTGGGGACGCCTCCAGCAGCTGCCTCTCCTTATATGGTCGGGGGAAGGGTTTAGAGGAAGGAGGAACGTGGCCCTACAGCCAAGGGATCCGCACTCAGGCGAGGCTCTGGGAGAGCATAATGCCCGCAACCATTCACATCTCGGGGTCTCCAGAAACGTAGAGTAGGAATGGACGACCCGCCCGCTAGGACCAGGGCAAAGACTACACTGGACTCGGTACACACAGAATGACTTGTCCCGGCTTCGTTCACCTGTTTCTCCAACGCTTAGCGCACTCTGCCTGATTCACAATAGGCGCTCAATAAAAAATTATTGGCCCGAAATAATCCCGGGGAAGGCCCGCCTCCGGTGACGTCTGAACTCGGTGACGTACGAGCCCCGCCCAGCCGCCCCTCCGGGTTTCCCAGCCGGCGCGCCGTTGCCATGGCAGCAAGGGGGCGCGGCTGAAGTGCGGTGGCGTTTCCGGGAAGATGGCGGCTGTCGAAGCGGCTGGGGAGCCGGTAACGGTGGTGGCGGCCGTTGGGCCAAAGGCGAAAGACGAAGAGGAGGAAGAGGAGTCGCTGCCACCGTGTGAGGCGGTGCGCTGGGCCCCGGTGGGGGCGGTGGCGGAGGCTGGGCCTGGGGCGGCTGCGTTCTCGGAAGAGGCGGCGGCCGAGGAGCCCAGCGCGGCCCCAGGCTCCCCGCCCGACTCGCCGGGCCGGACGCTGCGGCGGCTGCGGGCCGAGCGGCGGCGGCTGGACTCGGCCCTTCTCGCGCTGTCCTCGCACTTCGCGCAGGTGCAGTTCCGCCTGCGCCAGGTGGTGCGCGGGGCGCCAGCGGAGCAGCAGCGCCTCCTGCGCGAGCTCGAGGACTTCGCTTTCCGCGGCTGCCCTCACGTCCTGGGTTACGGGGGCCCCGAGGACCCCGCCGGCGACGATGACGACGGGCTGCCGGGGGACCGGCCACGGTTGCGAGGCGAGGACCAGGTGAGCAGCTGGGGCCGGGCCCCGAGGGATGTGGGAATAGGCGGGTTGGGTGGGTGGCGATGCTGACGCGGACAGAGGTAGCAGTGTCGTGAGAAGCCGCCCGGTCTAGGACGCGCGTCCGAGACGAGGAAACTGGAGACAGATGTGCGTTGCCTGCTGAAGGGCAAAAGGACAGAGCGGCCTGGGAACGTGATGATGAGAGTTGTCCACCAAAGGTCTGGAAAGAGATGCAGGTGTGATGAAGTGAGAGGCAGAGGGCAACAGAGCAGCTGAAGAAATGCTGCTCCCACTCGCCTTGCTGTCACCTCATAAAGTACCTAAGTCCTGAACACATTTGCTGATAGAGTACCCCAACCCTGAGAACTGGGCAAATTGGCATGTGAGTTGGAATCCATGGAAATTTAGATCTGATCCCTGTCCGTGCTTTCCTGGAATCTAGAGAAAGTCTTTAATCTGCAGACTCTCTTGTCTGGGTGAGAACTTTGGTGAACATCAGGGTCTCTTGGTAATTGAAAGAAACACAACTCCTGACTATATTAATTTCCTAATGTTGGTATTTTAAGACTCCTTCCCCATCCGGAGTAATGACTAAGTATTCTAAATGAGGTCCCTTTGGTAACTGTGAAGATCCATTCAGTTAGCCTGGACTGAGAAGTAATGAGAATCTATATACCATACCAAAGGAACGTTTCCTTACAGTCTTGGACTCTCTGGAAGTGCACAATTGTAGATAGCTTGTTGGAGGTGTTGAAGAGACTCATTGTCTTTTCTCCACCTTTTTATTATTCAAGTTACAACCCACATGTGCCTATCTTCCCACTTAAACTGGCTTTAACCAAGAAGACTTATCAGTAACAGATACTGATTTGTTTATTTTAATCTGAAATGTTTCCAGTGCAATCCTGTGTTTACTGTTCCACCCTTCTCTCCAATACCCACAGCTCCTTGCACAGGGAGCAGCCACCTCAAATTGCCAGGCTTTTGAGGAATAGAAAAGACAGAAGGAATTACTGTGTCCAGGCCCTGTTCAGGAGTGAGGAGCACCAAAGTTTCTGTATGGATGTGTTGCTCTTTTGGTTGTTTGTTTTCACTTTCAGAAACAAAATACAACTTAAAAAAAGTGTACTGTTGTGCTCGCTTCGGCAGCACATATACTAAAATTGGAACGGTACAGAGAAGATTAGCATGGCCCCTGCGCAAGGATGACACGCAAATTCGTGAAGCGTTCCATATTTTTTGATGTAATCTATGCAGAAATAGAAGTATAATGATGTACACCTGAAATTTTTACAATGTTATAAACCAATGTTACTGCAATAAACAAAAAATTAAAAAAAAAAAAAAGTGTACTGCTCAAAACACCTCATAAACAGCTGTAATCTCATGTGCATATATTGACACATGAACAGGTAGTGCCAAAGTGGGGGATATGTTTGAACCAAAGGATTTACTTCTTATCAGTTCCAAATTTTTTTAAAGCAGTATTTTATGTCTCTTCATACTGGAAATTCTGTTATTTCCTGCCTTGCACCAGACCTCATTGTTCTCTCCTATTAACCTTGTTTGCCCACATTCCAGTAAATAGCCTACTGTAACTACCATGGCAAGTGACAGAGTTCAGCAGACATACTCATGAAAATGGAATCAGGATTTATGGCAGGTTTCTTTCTTACTTGGCTCCATAAAGTTGGGATACAATGAAAACACAAACAAAGAAAGTTTCCCCAGTTCTTTCTCCTTAGGCTGGTTAGGCAGCTTCCTCCAGTCAGAGTTCATTATTTGGAATGTCATTCTGTTCCTGATTCAGTTCAGTAACATACAACAAATGAATATTGAGAGCTTACCCAGTGCCAGGCACTCTGCTAGGCATTGAGGGTACAAAGTCAAGGCCCTTGCCCATAAGGAGTTCCTAGACTAGGGGAGACAGAGTCCTAAACGAATAATTATAATATGACATGAGCTAGAAGACAAGTGTATACAAAATACAGAGGAGGAAATGATCGGTTGTGCCTGAGGAAATCAAGGATGCGTTCTCTTAAAGGATAGCTAGGCCTGCACCTAAGTGGGAGGGAGAGACAGGGTTCTAAGAAAAACCACAAGCCTCAGAAAGGATCGGAGAGGGACTGGTATCCTGAGAAAAGGCTTACTTTCATGTTGAGCAAAGCTAAAGCGAGAGGATTGATTTTTAAATAGCTTGAACAAAAAGTTAATTTGTTGTTTTTCATTTGTTCTTTCTCATACCTTACTTCTGGAGAGCTTGGTAAGTACTATTTTAAGGTTAAATTTCATATCCTATAGACTTCTACTTTAAAATGCAACCTTACACCTGCATGATTTGCTGGTTTTGCCTACTCAAGAAGGGCAAGGAAGAACCAGTGTTTGAGAATACATTGGCAAGCCTTTACCACCCTGAAGGGTTTTTAATGATTTAAATGGAGAAACCACCTGGGAGCCAACTGTGGGAAAAGGTGTCACTGGTCAGGGAAACTTACCAGACATTTTTTTTTAAAACATTGTTACCTTCCACCCCCATTACTTGGCTTTTGGGTTTTTTTCACTGCCCTGGGCACCTGTGTTTATTTTTTTGATTTTTCATAAGTCTATAATACATTGGAAGGGCTTTGCATCTTAAGAATACTGGTTATGAGTTATAAAACCTTTCTCTACACCCTTACCTCCAGATTCTCTTGCAAAATTTGGTTGCACAAAGTATTCTGGAGTTTTTCTGTGGTAATTGGCTGTGGAGGATGGCATGTTAATTCTTGGGAGGCTATCTTGGCTAAGGCAAATTGTGTTAATCCTAAACAGACCTTTGAAAAAAAAAGCAGTCCTAACAAAAGGCCCCATTGTATTCGTCTCCTATTTCCAGTGAAGAACAAATACTTTCCTAAAGAAAATACATGTTTAGGCCGGCCCTGTGGCTTGGTGGTTAAGTGC